ATCAAAGTTTGATTCAAGTTCTCGTTTCGATCTTCTCTTCTGCAGCTAATCTGGTTAATTAGTATTCAAGATTTTCTAATTTCCTCAAAGAATCATGGGAAGCAAGGATACAATTGAGACAGTCGAGAAGCAACGTAATCATCCCCTGTATCTTCATCAATCAGATATTCCAGGATCATTGTTAACGAGTATTCAACTCACAGGTGTCGAGAACTACGCTGTGTGGAGTAGATCGATGATTCTCACACTTCGAGCTAAGAGCAAATTAGGTTTTGTATATGGAACCTGCAAGAAAAGTGATTATGGAGATGATCTAGAGGAGCAGTGGGAGAAGTGTAATGCGTTCGTTTTATCTTGGATTCTCAACTCTGTGTCAAAGGAACTCATGAGTGGGATCGTATACGCCACAGATGCATCAGTGGTTTGGTCTGATTTGAAGGAACGATTTGACAAGGTAGATGGCTCAAGAGGTTACCAACTACACAGAAAGATCTGTACAATTGCACAAGGTAACTCGTCTGTATCTGCATATTTTACCAAATTGTGTGTACTTTGGGATGAATTTGATGCACTTGTCCCTCCTCCATCATGTGGTTGTGACAAATCGAAGGTGTATGTTAGTCATCTGCAGTATATGCGTTTGTTTGCTTTTCTCATGGGATTGAATGAGTCTTACAACCAACAGAGAAGCCAAATTCTTATGATGATACCTCTGCCATCTCTAAACAAAGCCTATTCAATGATTGTGGCTGATGAAGGTTAAAGAATGACTGTTGGTTCGTACTCAGGGATTGAATTGGGAGAATCATCATCAGCTGCTCTTTATGTTGGGAGTAATAGTTCTAACAAGCCTAGTTATCAAGGTAACTTTCATGAGGGAAACACTAGTCTAGGAATCAACAACTCTGGTTATTCACTTACTGGCAGCAATTCTTCGAATGCTATGGGTTACAATTTCCAAGGTGGTGGCTCTACTTCTAATTCACAGAGACAGAAAAGGAACTACAATCTGCAATGTGAAGTACGCAAGCTGAAATGACACACCAAAGATACATGTTACAGAGTAGTTGGATACCCTCCTGGTCATCCCAAATTCAGGAAGAAATATGAGGGAACAAGGATAGAAAATGCAGTTGATTATGATTATGCTTTCAACCCTTTCAGTGCAGATGTGAGGGGCTAAGATGTGCAAGATATGCATCCTATGGAACAACCAGTATTCACAAAGGAGCAATATGGACAGATACTCAGAATGCTCAGCAAAGAAAAAGGGACTGACGATACAACAGTCAACATGGTAGGAGCAGCTAACATGACAGGTATTGCACATACTTATCTGGTAGATAATAAAAATGACTATACTCGCAAACAATGGATAGTGGATTCAGGAGCTAGTAAACATATTATTTCAGACTTGGAAGCATTATTTGACACATGTTCCTCTACAAGGCAATGAAAAACAAGTCCATTTACCTAATGGCCAAACCACCACAATTTCTCATATTGGCAAGTATAAATGGAATGGTAAAGATGTCTTGAAAGATGTGTTAGCAGTGCCTAATTTTAAGTATGACCTATTATCTGTGTCATAGCTCACTAAAAAATTGCAATGCTCAATTGTATTTTTCCCTGAATTTTGTGTATTTCAGGACCTCTCCACTGGGAAAGTGAAGGGGATTGGTAAAGAAAGTGGAGGCCTATATTGGTTGATGGATCCAAATAATAATCATCCTAGTAACAACAATGGTCCAAAGCTTATGAATGTCAATGTACACAATGATGGAACAAACCTATTATGGCACAAGAGACTAGGACATCCCTCAATCAATGTTCTAAGGAGAATGTCGTTAGCAGTGGAAGGACATGATAAACACATTCAGAATAAATGCACAGTCTGCCCTTTGGCAAAACAAATTAGATTGCCTTTTATTTTGAGTTGTACTAGAAGGAGTAAAATGTTTGATATGATACATTTAGATGTTTGGGGCCCATATAAAACAGCTACTCATAATGGCTTTAGATATTTTTTGACTTTAGTTGATGATTACAGCAGGATGACATGGTTGTATTTGATCAGATTGAAGTCAGATGTTGTCACTGTATTAAAGAATTTCATTTCAATGATAATAACTCAATTTGCCTCTACTGTGAAGATTTTTAGATCAGACAATGGTAGTGAATTTTTCAATAATGAATGCAAAGTTCTGTTTGAAAGCACAGGGACTATACATCAAAGTAGTTGTCCTCACACTCCACAACAAAATGGAGTTGTAGAAAGGAAGCATAGGCATATATTAGAGGTGGCTCGAGCCCTTAGGTTTCAAGGAAGTATACCAATTAGATTTTGGGGTGAATGTGTATTGACTGCAGTGTATCTGATCAATAGATTACCCACACCAGTGCTTAAGGGTAAGTCTCCATATGAAGTATTTCATAAGCATAAAGCTTCCCTAGATCATCTAAGAGTGCTTGGTTGTCTTTGTTATGCAACTAAGATTGTTAAAGTTGACAAATTTTCGCCCAGGGCTGCTGCATGTGCTCTCTTAGGATATTGTGCTACTAAAAAAAGTTACATCCTTTCTGACTTACATGACAGGAAGATATTGGTGAGCAGAGATGTAATACTTCATGAGAATGTGTTTCCATTCAAGATTAATTCTTCTCAATGCCTTCATAATCTTACTTCCATAGCTACTACACCAGTACAATTTGATGAGGATGAGCATTTCTTAGTTGGTCCAGGCATACATACTGATACCAGCAGTTTTAGTAGTGACTTGATTCCAGATGGTGAAACCAGTGAACCTACAGTAGAGACATCAGTTGTTGATGAGATGAATCCAGATCATACATCAACTGCAGATGTTGCCACTCCTGCTCCTAGAAGGTCAACTAGAGCTACAACCTACTTGGCACCAAGATTATCACACTGGTCATAAGGTTGGAAAGCAGGTTTTTTACCCTATTGGTAATTATGTTTCTTATCAACATATTTCTCTACCATATCAAGCATATATAGCCAACATCTCCACTGATGTGGAACCATCCACATATGAAGAAGCTATAACAGACTCTAAATAGGTTCATGCTATGACTCAAGAGCTGCAGGCTTTGAAGGATAATGGGACTTAGAAGGTGGTTCCCTTGCCTTATAATCAGTCAGTTATTGGGTGTAAATGGGTTTTTAAAATCAAGTACATATCTGATGGTACTGTAGAAAGGTATAAAGCAAGGCTTGTAGCTAAGGGGTACAATCAAACTGCTGGAATTGATTATCAAGAAACCTTTTCACCAGTTGTGAAAATGGTGACAGTAAGAACTGTTGTTGCATTAGCTGCTGCTGAGAATTGGCCCTTGTTTCAAATGGATGTCTATAATGCCTTCTTGCAAGGTGACTTATTGGAGGAAGTTTTTATGGATCTACCCAAGGGGTTAAAGGTTCAGGGAAGCTTGTCAAGTCCTTGTATGGACTCAAACAAGACTCCAGACAATGGAACTTCAAATTGACAGAAGCACTGATGGGATCAGGATACCAACAGAGTCATTTGGACTATTCCTTATTCACAAAGAAACAAGGACACAAGATGGTAATCATTTTAGTTTATGTGGATGACTTACTTATAACTGGAAATGACACACAATTGATCAAAGAAACTAAACAGGTTCTCCATCAATCCTTCAGGATTAAGGATTCAGGAGAACTAAAGTTCTTCTTAGGAATTGAATTCAGTAGATCAAGCAGGGGAATCCTAATGAATCAGAGAAAGTATGCGGTAGAACTACTAGCTGAAGCTGGATTAACAGGAGGAAAAGTGGCATTTACTCCTTTGGAATTTAACATAAAGTTAACTATAGCTGAGGATGATGCTGATCAAGCAACTGAACTAGTTGAAGATGTACAACAATATCAGAGGATGATTGGGAAACTACTTTATTTGACGAACACTAGACCTGATATTGCATACACTGTGCAAACACTGAGCCAATTTATGCAGAAGCCAACAAAACAGCATTGTAATGCAGCATTAAGAGTCTTGAGATACATTAAGACTCAACCAGGGCTAGGACTGCTTGTCATCAGAGAAGGACATGAGGTTAACAGGGTATTGTGATGCAGATTGGGCTGCATGCCCAAACACCAGAAGGTCTGTGACAGGATACATATTGAAGTTAGGGAACTCTCTCATTGCTTGGAAATCTAAAAAGCAGGCAACAATCTCAAGGAGCTCAGCTGAAGCTGAGTATAGAAGTTTGGCAGGGTTAACAGCTGAAGTAGTTTGGGTAAATAATCTGACAAAAGAGTTGGGAATCAAGATTGAAAGTCCAATATCAATATATTGTGATAGCAAAGCTGCTATACAAATAGCTGCGAATCCAGTATTTCATGAAAGAACTAAATACATCGAAATAGACTGCCATTTCATAAGGGAGAAGATTCAGCAAGGGTTAATCAAAACTGTATATGTATCTTTACATGATCAACTAGCAGAGCTACTAACAAAGGCATTGGGAAGGACACAACATGAGTACCTATTATCCAAACTAGGAGTCCTAAATGTCTTCATGGGACCTAGTTTGAGGGGGAGTATTGAGAATTCAGGTGTAACATAAACAATGGAGCAGTACAAGTTAGCTGAGTTAGAATCACTAAGTTAGTTGGTTAGTGATATGTAAAGTTAGTTAGATAATGAGTTGTAAAGTTAGTTAGCCAGCTGGCAGCATAGTTAGTTAGATGAAAAGTGTATATATATATACTTGTAAGTAACTTGTATATATTAACTTCAATACAACTTCAATACAGATAAAAATTCTCAAATTAGCTGGCAGCATAGTTAGTTAGATGAAAAGTGTATATATATATACTTGTAAGTAACTTGTATATATTAACTTCAATACAACTTCAATACAGATAAAAATTCCCAAATCGATTCTCTCTGTTCTTCTTCCTTTCTTGAGTTCTTGTATTCTCTAATTTCCAGATTCAGATTTGTTCAAAATGTGTACTTCTATGAGTATATTTAAGTTTTAAATTGCAATTAAATGTGCTCAATCAATATGAAATGCCTACCTTCATCTACTTTTATGTCTAGACACTGATGTTGTTTGGATTCCACACCCACATCTATGTCAATATCCAATCTGAGTGTTCTTTTGGGTGCTAATCATCTACATTAATAACATGTGCACAAATTATTAAAGGGACCTTAAATCTACGACTTCTTTTTCTCCAGAGTGTTTCTTCCCGTGGCACCCTTTCCTACAGTAAATTCCCTTGATTTCCCCTTTCGCACCGTGGTTTTGTTCTAGCATTCTTCAAGCTCTCACGAAAAATCATTAATGATTCCTTCCATTGCCCATGCTCTGCAACAAAATTACATCGAACTCCTTTGAGGGAACTGCAGATTTTGTATAAACTGCAGTTCGCTTGTTACTTCTTTGTTCTTCTAAATCTTTATCGTCTCTGGAGGAATTTTCCTCCCTCTCGGTCCTGTAGGTGAAGTCTCTCCTTACTTTTATGTCTGCAACGCAACCACTTTCTCCTCTTATCTCCTGAGGAAGCAAGTCATTGATAACCATATTGTCCAACAATTTATTATTATTAGTAGGGAGAAAATTGCTTGTTTCTTCCATTCATTTCTTAAAGTTCGAGATCGGGTGGCTATCGTTATATTTTTCTGGGATATGAAGAGGGCTTACCGGAGAGTCCAATAACCAATCTGCAAGATTATTTATGCTATTCGATGAGCTAATCGAAGCGTAGGTACCTTTACAAACGGAAAAGCGTTGTTCATAGGAGGAATTATGATCATTGGAAATGCTAATCAAGTTTGGATTAGGTAGCCATTACTTCCAATGTCATTACTTGTAGAATTATACGGTCTTCTTGAGTAATAGTTATCCGGTATCTCACCATTCTGGTCGAGAAGAAAGATGAAGGGCAAACAAATAATTTTCATCACTATTATCCATTTAATCTATTTTGTATCTGCCATCGAATCATAAGCTTCTCGATTATTCTTCTGCTCTTCTTCCCTCACAGTTTCTGTTGTTCTCTTTAATCTCCATTTTATACAATTGTTTCATTTGTTTTTGTATGCTATTCTACTTTGGTATTGCTGTTTAATTATTTTGGGCTTTTTTTTTCTGAGGTATCAAACTGAACTTTCTTTAAGGCCACAATCTTCCTATCATCCCTGTTTCACGCTCTATACACATTGCTATCATATTAGGACTTATAAATATACTTTTTGCTTTGATTGTGGTCTAAGATATTAGTTTAAACTTACATTTAAATTTTAGTTTTGTTTCCTTTTCATTTGGTCTTCTTACCTCTTTATTTTTGTGATTCTTCTTATCAGAATATCACTGCCCATGAAACTATGTTTAATATGGCATATGTGTGATACTACTTGAAGCTTGAGTTTGTTTTGCCCCACTTTTGTGTGTGATAAAAGATCTCTTTAGACAAGAATTGGATTTTGTTAGGTTTTTAGGTAAAACTATTTGAGCCACAGCCCACAAGTGTGTGGTGAATTTCTTGAAAGAAATTTCTTTTCGATCAAACTTCTAGAGTCTTCTTTCAAAGCTTGAGGTTTGTTAGATCGTGATTTTATGGCTATACAGTTTGTGGATTCAAGAGTAGTATATTCTGTTTGACAGAGAACTTTCGATCCTTATGGTCCCTCCATGTCTAGGGATTAAGACTGATCCAATAAAACTTTTTTCTTTTCTTATTGTCCTCTTAACACCAGTGATCAATTTAATTCGGAATATAACTTCAGTTTGCTATTAATTATTTCCTTGGAGGTATGAGTGGCTGGCAGGGCCTAGATGTGCTTCATGAGATTGATAAACAAGAGCATAAGATACATCTTTTCGATTAATCCTACTTCTTCAGAGGATAGCACAACCAGTAATATGCTGAAATTGAACCTGCTCTATGTGTATGTCCCACACTTAGACAAGCACATCATCACAACTTGTGCAAGTTAGCAGTCAATTACTTCAATGACCTACCACACTAAGAGCTTAAGAGCACAATCACTTGTTCCAACATATTCAATTGCTAGACACTTAATTGGTATGTTCATTCTTCTATTTATTTTTTTCATTTGTAGCAAGATTGAATGGAGTATGCATATGTGGCTTTTTTTTGTTGAAAGATTTCTGACGTTCACCAGATGTTTGAAAAAATGTCTAAACTAAAAAAAATCATACTTCGTTTACCTTGTTAAGAAAATTTGGATTTTGTTTACTCCTTTAAAATTCTTTGAATATTTAGAACTGTACCATAAACTTGGTATCATCTCATTCCCTCATTAGTGAGTGGTACAACTTCTCAGGTTAACATTACATGTATTATTACATGTATTGATCCCTGTGTTAATCCTTAGTTATTTTATTTCATTTGCTCATATTTTAATTTCGTTTCTTGTTTAAAGATTTAATGTTTAACATCCTGTTTTGAGATGGAAAATATTGTAATAACAAAAATATAAAAATTCACCTGACTCTTACAATAGGTAGCTGGTTGTATATATATGTATGTATGTTTATCAAAATTTATGCTAGTTTTGAACTAATATGATTTAAAGAGGTAAATTAAACTTTGTTTTCCTTGTATATCAATAATCTGTCTACTTAACATATGATATTGTTCATTATGCAAAGGAAATTAGCTTATTATGCAAAAATGATTATTTCACCAGCACTTCTCGGCTCTGTTCAAATAGTTCCAAAGAGTACGAGATCACATTAGAAATTTGGAACTTCAAAGTAATTTCCTTTAAATAAGAAATCCAATGTTCCAGCTTCGAAACTTAAAATTCAGTGGATAATAGGTGTATCCTTCTAGACTTAAATACCAAAAGTCCAAACTTGGTTCTCTAACCGTATTTGAATTTGTGCCATGCCCTTAGCTGACTTCATACTACTCAACCAAAAAACAATTTTTTACAATGAAATGGCAACTGTGTCCATAACTTACTTGCACTGTTCTTCATCATCGAAGACAGTACGTTCATCGTCCACGACCTTCTTGACACCTCTTCTGCTTTCCTTTTCCATTTTACGTCTGTAATAGGCGTCAAGTTTATAATATCTGCAAAAATGAAGAATAACAGAAGTACTGTTAGATGATTATAAACATAGCTCAAATATCAAACATCTGTATACCTATCTCTCTGTGTACGTATGTGTGTACAAGCATATATCATCCTGCAAGGAACAAGAAGCCTCACACAAAACACCCAAACTCAATATATTTATTATCAATATATAAAGAACCCCATCCTGACCAAAAAAAAAATTAAGATTGAAATAGTGCAGTAGCCTTACTTTTTAGAAGGGAAGGTTGCAGTGTTATGATCCTCCATGAATCTGCACAATAGCTGACTATAAAAAAGTGAAAGTTCCTTGTATATATTGCTTAAACAGAGGTAGAGAAAGGGGAAGAACAAGTGCTAATAAGAACTAGCATTGAATAGAAAGAGAATGTGGATAAGTACTATGCAATGGAAGCTTTTTAATGAGGACCTTCGGAAATGCACTATAGTGCACTAAAAGGAAAATGCTTGACCAACATGTTCCCAATTTAATTTTATTGCTCAGTTATCAGATTTTTGGAGAGTCTATGCAACATTCAGTTGTTTGAAAGGAATATTGTTTAATTTGATACCTCAAGGTTAGTTTTGTAAAAAGATGAATTGATAACTACTAAATATTCTCCCTGCAGCTATTGAAAGGCTTTAGGAATGATGAAATATGCGGATCATCGTGTCTTCCCTATTGTTACATTTGTTGACACTCCAGGGTCTTTTGCTGATTTAAGATCTGAAGAGCTAAGTTAGGTGTGAGTCTTTACCTTGACTTTCAAATATTGTGTTATTAGATTACGTTTGGTCATGTAGAATCTATAATCACCTCCAATATTTTCATGTAGGGTGAGCCAATAGGCCATACTTTAAGGGTGTTTGGGCTGACAGTTCCAATCATAACAGTTGTAACTAATGAAGGTGGTTCAGGCAGATCTCTTGCCATTGAATGTGTAAACAAGTGGTTAAAGTTGGAAAACTCCACAACATTTTATGTTGCCAGGTTAGTTTGGTTCATTTGTACTTCTTCCATATTTTTGCTACTTATCAGGCATGTGACAATTTGAAGAACAAGAAAAGCTCAAGTTCAAAAATAATGTATGTGCCTGCTATATCAACCAAAAACATGTTGTCTTAGCTTTAAAACGTGGACAAATTGTACATATGTTGAGGCATGGATGTTGTACTTGCTGCTTTTACACCTATTGCATTTTTTCTTTGGATATCTCAATTTTATCTGTATCTTTACAAAGTTTATGCTTCTTTGACCAGTCCTAAAGGTTGTTCTGTAATATTATGGAAGTCTTCACAATCAGCTCCAAAGGTATTTGAGAAATAGTTGTTCAAGTTTGTGAAATTAATGGTTTATCATTAATACAATTCTGATTGAATAGGCAGCTGAGAAACTGAGGATCACAGCTCAAGAACATTATAAACTCTTGATAGCAAATGCAATTATTCCAATAAGTACCATCTCTATACTTTTCCACCTTTATACTTAATTTTGTTTCAGAGAGGAAAAATTGGAATCTATGGTGAAGGGTTGGTGATGCAAGTAGTGTGAAGAAATAGTAGACACAACCTGTATTCTAAGTTGAGCTTTTTTATGCTTTTGGTGCTATTGCACACTTTTCATTTACAAGAAGGTTAGATGCAATTCTAATAAGTATTAACTACATGACCTTTTCTCAAATTTGGGAAAAAGAGATTGATGACTAGAATCGGTAGTTTAAAGACTGACTGATGTGTTTCTCATACCTAAGCAGACAAAGAAGTGGGAAACGTGAATTTTCCTTTTTGCGAGAAGTGATTTACAAAGTATGTTAGGATAAAGTTTGAATTTTATGTAGTTGTTCTAGAGTTTTGTTGCTCATGGTCAAAAATGGATTGATGGGCGTATTTGATAGTTTTTTCAGCATATTCGTCGCAGTTGTAATCCATTTATCCTTTAGTGCCACCTCTATTTGTTTATGGGTTATCAATCATTAGGCAATTGGTTAGTAGTTCGATTAATTCATAAATCCTGATTGTTTGTAGCCTAAATAGCATGGCCCATTGTGGAGAACTTGAGGTTCTATTTTTTTAGCCTAAATAGCACGGCTCATTGTCAAAAACTTGAGGTTTTGTTGGTCTACAGACCTAATTTGTGATTAATTAAGCAGGTTCCTTGCTGTATCAAATTAGTGATATCTTACATGTTTGTTTTGCCTAATAATAAGAAAGGAAGTAGAAGATCCGCCCTCTGTATTTGTGAATTAATTTTGGTTAGACATTTTTATTTGAATTTTATTTGTCAATATTCATTTAAGGTGTGCTAGAACCAATATAAACTCAAGAGAGAGCGGTGATGAACCATCTGAAGGCATTGAAGATTGATTTCAGTGGTAACCGACTAACCGTGCTCTCTCAAGTCTAGATGCAGAAGGTTGCAGTTAGAGGTGTACATGACCGGGTTGGTTCAGATTTTTCAAATATTAAACCAAATCATTTGTGTAAAAATTTTAATTTTATAAACCAAACCAAACTAATAAAATTCGATTTTTTTCGATAAAGTTTGCATACAAACATATAATTAACTTGTGCTCCAAATATTTGTTTAGTCCAACCAAAATATAATTATCTAAGATGTTTCTTAAAAAAAATAACACAAAAATATGAGATGAGCACTGATGACACAAAAATATTCAAATAAAAAATAATAATGAAATCATCATATAAAATAAATATTGCAAAGTCATAATGAAAATGATCATAATTTAAAAGGGAAAGGGTCAAAAATACCCCCTCAACTTTGGTTTATTGGTCGACTTTACCCTCGCCGTTAAAATGAAGTTAATTTTATCCCTCCCGTTACTAATTTCACCAAAATTACCCCTCATTAAACGGAATCCCCAAAATTGACCCAAATTACCCAATTTTTTTCAAAAAAACCCTATTCCCTATTTTAACCCAATGACCCAACCCCTCTAGAATAACCCAATTAATTCAATGCCCTGTTACCCATTCCCATTTACCCATTCTCTCTCTTTGAATAGATA